ACGAGGTGGCTTTTAAGGGACCGCCTCAAAACTCTTCAGCTTTATTCTCAGCGCTTTCGTGAGGCAGCGTGGGAAGAGCCGCCGCGGTGGAGAAGAGTTAAGAGGAGCATCGGCATCCTGTGTAGTACAGGAATAAATGCTTCTCACGATTTTTCTCTGAAAAAACTTTAACCGCCGCCCCCCACTCCAGGGCAAGAGAGCTCGGAGGTCACCGAAAACCCCTCTCCCTGTTTTGTTAAAATGTACATTCTTATCATTGCGAAGCAGTGCAAAGCAGCTGAAAAAAAAAGTTAAATGTATACTCACCATTGTAATAGTTTTAACCTGCTGGTGCAAGACATTGGGCAGAAAAGGACACCATTTTCAGAACGACTCCGAGCCTCCCTTTCCTGGAAGAGATGTGCTGCATCACCAGCCCCAAATCCTGTTGTTCATTGTTGTACAGTAGTTTATTTGTTTTCTGACGGAAGGGAAATGGCGTATCTTGAAGTGGCAAATTGCTACGAATAATTGAATCTTCCCCTTGGATTCCTGGGTGCACGCGAAAGCACCCGACTGGGGCTTATTAACTAGCAGCAACTTGCCGCTGCAAGTTATGCAGTTTCCCTCCTACTAGCATACCCGTGCAACAGATTTTTGGCCAGAGTGACCTGGATCAAACAGAGCACGAAAGTGGTTGCTCCCTCCCTTTGTTGTTTATCCACAACACCAGATCTTTAGAAACATGGACTGTGAACATAAATGTTGTTTATCCACAACACCAGATCTTTAGAAACATGGACTGTGAACATAAAGGTTTCATATGGCTGTTGCAGTGGCCTTTGACTGATGTCTCCCATTAGCTTATTTTAGCCCTTTTTTAAAGTCATCTAAAGCTGGAGAACTAAAGATCTTAAATTAAATACAGTATACAGTATAGTGTGTTGCAGAACCACTTTTTTTACTTCTGTGTAAGAAAGTGGACCCATTTGTTCATTTCCTAAATCTCCCTCTTCCTACTTCCAGTGAAGATTAAACAAAGAGGAATAAAATCAAAACTCTACTATAGGAGTTGTGCTTTTTGTAACTTTACTTGCCCTTTTGCAACTTCTGTTAATTCATGCCTCTTGAAAAAAAAAGCCTTGAGTTTGCTCATTTTTCATACACTGCTCAATTTCAGAGTAGAACTGTAGCTAGGAAAGTCTGCTGCTGAATAACTGTTGCACAGAAAATTGTGATCAGGCACAGAAAGAAAAATCCAGAAATATATTCTGAACAATCAAGTCTAGAATATTTTTATCTCATAACAAAATGTTAGGTCTAACACTTGGAAAAACTGTTACTATTTATTTGGCTTAGTAGTTCTAGGAACTCTTGTCCAATACAATTCTCCCAAATTCTGGTTCTATGGCAGGAAATAGTAAACTTTCAAGTAGCATAACAGAATTTAGTGTAATGTGTGGCTGTATCTTTAAGGCAGAAGTTTGCCAAACTTATGTTCTATCAGATGCTGCTGGGTTACATTTTTCACTGGGTCTAGCCAGCATAGGTAAAGGTTAAGCAAGTCTAGAATAGACTCTAGGGGGCGGTGCTCATCCCCGTTTCCAAGCCGTAGAGCCAGCGTTTCTCCGAAGACAGTTTCCGTTGTCACGTGGCCAGCGCGGCTATACACGGAACGCTGTTTACCTTCCCACTGAGGTGGTACCTATTTATCTACTCACATTCGCATGCTTTCGAACTGCTAGGTTAGCGAGGAGCTGGGACAAAGTGACGGGAGCTCACTCCGCCGTGTGGATTCGATCTTACGACTGCTGGTCTTCTGACCCTGCAGCACACAAAGGCTTCTGTGATTTAGCCCGCAGCCCCACCACGTCCCCAGCATAATCAGTGGCAAAAGCTGGTGATGAGAGTTGCCATCTAACTATATCTGGAAAGGCATGGATAAAGCAATCCATGAGCACTTTTTTTATAGGTCTCAGGAAGCCATGATTAATGATGCTGCAGCATCAGGAGAGAGAGAATGATTGCTACTCATTTTTCTTCATCTCTTATATTTAAGTCCTACTGATGCGTCTTTCTGAAGTGATTATGAAATACTATAGAGGGACTTTGACTCTTCATATATTTTGGCCTAGACTCTCCACCAGTGCTACTCCACTTGGCCAACAGCAAGGGATTGTGGGAGCTATAGACCAAAATATCTGAAGAGATTCTGGCCCCAGAATGGTGCAGCTGTGGTATTTCTCTCTTACTGGTTCTCTTTTGTAGTTTTTAGGGTGCAAAGTTGTTTTAGTTAAATACCTAAATAGCCAGCCACAAAAAAATAGATTTAATGGAAATAGATTGGCTCCCTTACAATCCTGTGCATTAATATACAAATACGAATACCCCCACACAGGTGGACGTAACGAGGGTCCGTTACGTCCCTCGTTCCGACCACCCACTCATCCGTCCACTGCTAGCGCCAGCTCCACTCTCCCTTCCAATTGCTCCGGAGTTTCTGATTGACTCTCCACTCCTGGCAGTAGGAGGGAAGATGAGTCTCCCTGCCAGGCTGTTGAATGGGAGGGGAGAGCAGAGCTGATGCCAGCAGTGGATGGGTGAGTGGACGGTCTGGCCCCAGGGGGCCGGACACTCGTCAGGTCCACTTGTGCAAGGGTATTCGTATATGAATACCCTCTATTAAAGTAAAGAGGCCTCAAGTCCTCCGGCTACATTTAATACTGAATGGGAGGAGGTTAAAACTAGTTTGAGTTGCTTGCATGACACAGCTGAACCATTGACAGATTATCTTGGGATGCATAGCACTTCTATTCAGTCTGATGATGATCTTCAAACTCAAGCTTCTGTATTAACAGGGCACACCAGTCTACTAGGAGATTCAAAGCAACAGATGGATTGTGAACAAGTTAACATGATTTCTTTGGGTTCTGAAGATAATGAGGGGTATGACATATATGACCATTGCCAATACCACAAATTATATCTAAGTCTGAAACTTCATTAACATGAGATGAAGATTCAGTGCTTCAGTCTGCTCCTCCAAAAGATGTACCCAAATCTGCTTTACTTCAACAGAATGTAATACAATCTTATTCTACTCAGGGTATCCTAATGCTTCTTCCTGATACGGCTATCAGAAATGATGGTCTGATGGATACACAGAACTATCAGATTGGCACACTGAACAACAGGAATGTGTGTCTGTTTTTTCATGGAACATTGCAGGATGGAACTCAAAGCATAGGGATACTGTACCTCTTAGATTGGCACACTGAACAACAGGAATGTGTCTCTGTTTTTCATGGAACATTGCAGGATGGAACTAAAAGAATAGGGATACCTCTTTCTCAATAAAATATCTCTCCTAATATGACATTTCAATGTTACAAAAGACATGGGCTTTAGATGCAATTAGACATGGGATATTCATATTCATATCCCTGAGGATACAAATATGAATATCAGCACCACAGGTACCATGGAAATCCAGTCCCTCCCCCCCAAACTGGTCCACTCATGGGTCACCGTTTGTTGTGAATGGCTGCCATCCTAATTGTTGCGCCAATCATGTAACCAGCCTGGCTGGTTCTTCCCCGCCTCCCTATGCAGCGGAACACTCCAGCATGGAGACAGGATGGGGAGTCACCTTGCTCAGCTGATGCAACAATGAGGATGATGGCCATGCGCACCACTTGGTGGCCCATGTTTGAGGGGGGGGAGGGACTGAATTTCCATGCCGCCTCCCTATGCAGCGGAACACTCCAGCAAGGAGACAGGATGCTCAGCTGATGCTACAATGAGGATGGTGGCCATGCGCACCACTTGGTGGCCCATGAGTGGATGAGCCAGTTTGGGGGGGAAGGACTGAATTTCTATGGCACCTGTGGTGTTGATATTCATATTTGTATCCCTTAGGATATGACTATGAATATCCCATATCTAGATGCAATAGAACTAAGTGGTTTTACTGTCCACCAGCTACGTGGCACCCCTAGTGACAAGAAGGGTAGACCACGATGGGGCCTACTGACACTTGCTTCTAACAAACTCCATATGTCACTGAGTGAGCTCCCTACTTACTATCAGTTTGCAATAGCAGTGATAAAGGAGTTCAATCAATGCTCAATGCTGTTTATAAATACAATATATATCTTCCCCACAGTGACTGCATGCTCAGAGTAAATCTATTTGGCAAGGATAAGAAATTGACATTGAAAACCTTATAACAAAATGATCAATTTCTTAAATAGTTATCAGGGGCAACTTCAGTGCTAGATTGGGGGCAAATTATACTGCTCTTTATGGTACCCATCACATTTGTGCCCCAGAAAGACCACCTTCCAGCCCATTAAATGTGCACTGCTCTAAAGATAATACTGTTAATTATGCAGGCCTCCGTTTGGTTCGGAAGATTAATTGATTTGATTTATGCCTACTAAATGGAAATATTATTGAAGATATTCTGGGAGAATTTATATTCTGATTACAATCCAGGATGAGTACTATTGATCATGTAATTGTTAGCCACAATCTGTTGGGCTCTTGTTTTAATCAGGAGATAGCAGACCTAATAGTGATCACCTCCTTTAAATTTGTACCTGAGGCATTTGAGCACCATGTCTATATTGAGGATGTTCTAAAATCCAATCCCAAGGCAATAGTTAATAATACTAGGATCAGATGGTCAGAGATGCAAGAGGGATTCTTTAAATAATGAATACTGATTATTACTCTATGATTCATACCATCCTGCAAGAGGTCCAAATAGTAGTAGTATTCAGCAGTGTGTGTTGTTGATAAAAGAGCTACAGTGGTGCCTCACTTAACGGCAATAATCCGTTCCAGGAAAATCGCTGTTAAGCGAAAACGTCGTAAAGTGAAAATAAAAAGCCCATGGAAACGCATTGAAAACCATTCAATGCGTTCCAATGGGCTAAAAACTCACCGTCCAGCGAAGATCCTCCATACCGCCATT